AGGGAGGAGCGCTAGTGTTAAAATTCTCTGCAGCGGGAATGGATTGTAAAGGTATTCTAATGGATTGTAATTAATACATATTTTAAGGTGTGTTTTATTTATGCATTCAAAATAGATGTAAATGTATATGTTGGGAGCCCAGCAAAGAGAAAAGACTGAAAGACGTAAGTTCGGGTCAGGAAACAGACCGAACGGAGTCTGCCTTAGTGATCTGTGAGCTTATGAGGACTTCCATGTGACTGTTTAGCAAAAATCAGAGTTCTCTGCTGGATGGGTAGAGAACAAGAGGCCAATTAAATGAGATTGCATCTGTCGATTGTTCTTAGGACCTAACTTTATTTGCTCTGGAGGAGAAAAGACCCTGTCGTGTTCTGGTCCTCAGTGTCTCTTGGCACCCTACTTGTTCCTCACAGCACACAGTAGGTGCCCAGGAATGGTGCTGCATGAAGCCCTTGGTGTGTACGCAGCCTGCCCAGTTCCGCCTCACTTTCCTCCAAGTGCTATGTCTGCCTCGTTTGCTGTGCTACAGCTTCACGCCCATAAGCTTGACTCAACAGTTAGAGAAACCAATGGTAACATGGACATCCTTCTCCCAAACTAAGAGAACTCCACAAGACACAGTATCATGACTACATTGGTCATGTGGCCTGAGATCACATGATCCTGCAGCTGGTTCTTCCCAACAAGGGGCTCATGGGAGTGTTCCACTGTTAACAAGCAGAATTTACAATGTTCCAGGGCCCTGTTTGGACTCACTTTATTTTCTGATGTTCAAGCCAGAATCTCGCCACTTTGTCTGGATCCCGCCCACATCTCTTCGTACACAAATGCACAGCTCATTTAAAATAATAAAATGCCCTGCCTGGTGTTCTTGGCTTTTAAAACAAGCAGCCAGCAACAACATCAAAAGCCTAATTTAGAGATCTTGTCATCTGATCTGAAAATAAACCTCAACCAGAATACCTTTTGCTGTTATTTCTTACACACTCATTCTAGTTGAATAAAATGTGACCCCTAAAGCCAAGTGAAACGCTGCCAAACAGTCTCCGACATGGATGTAAACTACGCCTCTGCCAGCTCCTTCAAGCCAGCTGTGAGCACCACTTCAGCCCCACTCAGGGCCGGACTCCCACAGACAGACTGAGCTCCATTGTTGCAGACAGGCTATTCAGGCAGCCTATTGTCAGCCTGGGAAGACTGTGCCCTCGCCTTCTGTACGATACTTCAGGAGAGGATAAAGTGTTCTCCAGCTAAGCCCTCAGACCTGCTTCTTCCCGCTGCCTCCATTCCTTCACCTCAGCTTTAAATTCTGGATGCTGGGAGATGCTAGGTCCTGCCACTGATGAAGGCATGGCCATTGGGTTCTGAAAACCAGCCTTAGTTGCCCCTAGCTGGGAAGCCAGGGAAACGTCACATAACCACAGACTGCCACAGATAGCTCCTCAGTGACATCAGAATCCACTCATCCTGCCCGATGTCACAGAGGTTTGGACACCTAAGTAGTGGTTGTGAAAGTGCTGGGAAAACCATTCGTAGGATTTGACCACTGAATACTACTACTAGAGTATAACAATAATAGTGCATAAAGGAGGACTTATTAATAGAGTATGAAGTTCCCAATGCCTATTTCATTGCTGCCTCCTTTCGTTGAATCTAATTAAATATTTTTATGTCTTGCAAATAGAAATGGATAAAGACCGCTACCTTCCTCCTCCCCAAAAAGTCGCTCAAATTCATCTCTTAAGGATTTTTTTAAAAATGAATACAGTAGCCTACAAAATAAAGACAAGCGTGGGCACGTGCAGGGTTAAGAGATAGTTCTGGGAGAAGAGGAAAGTGAATTAAGCTAGTTCAAGCAGCCCAGACTGCTGCATATTAATACCTGAGAAAAAGGATGAGCTGCTTAGCTAAAGTTTGAAAACCACTACAGTGTTTTCAATCTGTCCCTGAAAAATAACAGGAACCAAGGGGAGAAGAACAGAAAGGTCACGACCTTTAACCTGGTGGCAGCAATAACCCAGAGATCCTGGAGGAAGGCCTGATCATGTGCTTGGAGCCAGTGGCAGAAGTTAGGCAGCCTAAAACAACTCAACTCCCTGCTCTTTATTGTGGTTTCTACTTGTACGAACTGCAGCATAGGTTTATATTGTCTATAATGTATTTCCAAATCATATATATTTCACCTACTATATAATGTATTTATATAACCACATTCTTTAATTGATTCTGTGTTCATAAAACATTCATGATATTTCCCCCACAATCTTCAGCATTTTTTCCTTGAAGAGAAACGTCCTCTCCCAGTCTGTCTCTCAAAAGAAGCAAGAGAGAGGTATGCTCAGAGTGTTCGCTGAGATCTCCGGAGGACGCCTTTCTTGAGCCTGGAGAGTTTTAAATGCACTGATCCTTAAGACCACCAACCACAAATCTCCCACCCCCAACTCCCCCATCGAAAAGCAAAACATGTAATGTTCCCTTTGGGGAAATAAATTTCAAATCCCACAGCTTTTCACGACTCTTAGAAAGTCAAGACAGCTTTAAGGGACTCAGTCCTCCCAGTGCCAAGTGAGCAGACAGTTTAAAAATACAATAGCTACAACGTGAGAAAGGGAACTGGGAGGAGAGCGTACTAGAAAAAGGAGAAAGAAGAGAAGAGCTGGGCAGAGCAGAAAGGAGGAAGCCCTAGCTCTCCGCGTCGCAGAAGCCAGGGGCCCCAGCACGCGCGCCCAGGCCCCGCTGTCCCTCCCGCGGCTGGCAGCCGGCCGGCTGACCTGGTCGAAGTAGATGGTCATGGTGCGGTTGCTCATCTCGGAGGGTTCGTGGTTGGTGCTCCGCGTGGCGGAGAAGGCCACCTTGGCGCTGCCAGAGCGCACGGAGATGCCCAGGGAGGAGGTGACGGCGCCGTCCGCCGACGGGCTGGAGTCGCACACCACCAGGCACTTGCCC